TAATACATTTGATACCATTGCCCCTCTGAAAAAGAAGGCAGTGAAACAGAGGAGGCTAGCCCCATGGTACAGCTTGCAGCTCCGCTCCCTAAAGCAGGCATCACGAAAAATGGAAAGGAGGTGGCGCTCCACTAAGTCAGAAGAGTTTTTCATAGCCTGGAAAGATAGTTTAATAACATATAAGAAAGCCCTTCATAGTGCCAGAACCGCATTTTATTCATCACTGATTGAGGAAAATAAGAACAACCCCAGGTTTCTTTTCAGCACTGTAGCCAGGCTGACAAAGAGCCACAGTGCTGTTGAGCTTAACATTCCCTTAGATCTCAGCAGCAATGACTTCATGAGCTTCTTTACAAATAAAATCACAACTATTAGAGAAAAAATTGGTCGGACCACTCCCACAGCTCTCGCAGATGTGCCATCTACTACAATGGCTTTAGAAACATCTGTAAGACCTCATTTATACTTGGACTACTTCTCCCCTATAGATCTCTCTGAGTTGACCTCAACAATTGCTTCATCTAAATCATCAACATGTCTCCTGGACCCCATCCCGACCAGGCTGCTCAAAGACGTCTTTCCCCTAATCAACACATCCATACTAGATCTGATTAACCTCTCTCTATTAACAGGTTATGTTCCACAGGCTTTTAAACTTGCAGTAATTAAACCTCTACTCAAAAAGCCTACTCTTGACCCAGGTGTCCTAGCTAATTATAGACCAATATCCAATCTCCCATTTATTTCCAAAATCCTTGAAAAAGCTGTTGCAAAGCAGTTATGTGACCACTTGCACAAGAATGATTTGTTTGAGGATTTTCAGTCAGGATTTAGAGTCCATCATAGTACAGAAACCGCATTGGTGAAAGTCACCAATGATCTTCTCCTAGCCTCGGACAAAGGACTTGTCTCCATACTTGTCCTCTTAGATCTCAGTGCTGCTTTTGACACCATTGATCACAGCATCTTACTGCAGAGACTTGAACATGTTATTGGGATTAAAGGAACTGTGCTAAGTTGGTTCAAATCTTATTTATCAGAAAGATTTCAATTTGTTCATGTTAATGACGAATGTTCCACACAAACTGAAGTTAGTCACGGCGTTCCACAGGGCTCTGTGTTAGGTCCAATTCTCTTCACTTTATACATGCTCCCTTTAGGCAATATTATCAGGAAGCACAACATAAATTTCCATTGCTATGCAGATGATACTCAGTTATATTTATCTATGAAGCCAAATGAATCAGGTCAGCTGGTCAAACTTCAAGCATGTCTTAAAGACTTAAAGGCCTGGATGACCTGCAACTTCTTACTTCTAAACTCTGACAAAACTGAAGTTATTGTGCTTGGGCCTGAACACCTTAGAAATCTGCTGTCTAATCATATAGTTACTTTATATGACATAGCTCTTGCCTCCAGTACTACTGTGAGGAACCTTGGAGTCATCTTTGATCAGAATATGTCCTTTAAATCACACATAAACCAAGTCTCTAGATCTGCCTTCTTTCACCTGCGCAATATTGCAAAAATCAGGAGCATCCTGTCTCAAAGTGATGCTGATAAACTGGTCCATGCATTTGTTACTTCCAGGCTGGACTACTGTAACTCTTTACTATCAGGATGTCCCAATAATTCCCCAAACAGCCTCCAGTTAATCCAAAATGCTGCAGCCAGAGTACTGACAGGAACTAGCAAGAGAGATCATATCTCTCCCATATTAGCTTCTCTCCACTGGCTCCCTGTAACATTCAGCATAGAATTTAAAATCCTTCTCCTAACATACAAAGCCCTTAATGACAAGGCTCCATCGTATCTTAAAGACCTCGTAGAGCCTTATCATCCTAACAGAGCACTTCGCTCTCAGAGTGCAGGTTTACTTGTGGTTCCTAGAGTCCACAGAAGCAGAATGGGAGGCAGAGCCTTTAGCTATCAAGCTCCTCTCCTATGGAACCAACTCCCAGTCTCAGTTCAGGAGGCGGACACCCTCTCTACCTTTAAGATTAGACTTAAGACGTTCCTTTTTGATAAAGCTTATAGTTTGGGCTGGATCAGGTGACCCTGAGCCCTCCCTTAGTTATGCTGCTATAGGCCTAGGCTGCTGGGGGGGCCCCATGATGCTCTGAGGTTCTCTCCCCTCCTGCTCTGCTCTGCTCTCCTCTCTCTCCCTATGCTTCTATATGCCACCATTACACATTACTAACTTTGTGTCTTCTCTCTCCCGTAGTGTGTCCTCTCTCTCTCTTTGTACCTTTCTACAGGTTGCCCTGGCCCTTGAGCTCTACATCTCTGACGAGTAGTCACCAGCCACATTGACCTGATCAGAGATGACTTTTGTTGTGATTTGGCGCTATACAAATAAAATTTGATTTGATTTGATTTGACACGCTGTGATAAATTATTTATTATTAAATATGGTGATACTGGAATCACTGCACGGAAGAATAAAAACGAGGCCACTTTGCTTCTACATCTCTGTGTTTTTCCCATCTGACCTGTTGCTCCTGCACTGCACTTGGCTGTTGTCCTCCTCCTCCACCTCTCCCACCCTCTCTTGCTGCTTCAGCAGCACTGACTGAAGTCTGGGAATATTCAAAACAAATTAATTGGATCGCTATTCACACTTATTGGGCTGTTCAGCTTTCCATCCTGTGTTTTCTTTAGTTTCTAATATTTTTACAGTGTTGCTACTACCTTTGGTCCAGACTGTCTGCGCCTCCTCTGGACTAAGGGGCAAACATTCAGCACCAGTGTTTAAGAATTAGCATTAACTTTAACCACCTGCAGTGCAGTATCTACGGTGTGCTAACGTTAGCTTTGCTATCCTTAACTTGCTAATAACTTATTAGAAGAGCTGGGTTGCTATGATCAACAGCGGAGAGGAGGAACTATTCACAGATGGGCTTGTTAGTGTGTGAGAGAGCGGGGCAAGTCAAAGTGCACTGGGCACAGCTTTACGGAATGGAATAATATTTTGCCCATTTTAAATAGTAAAAGAAAACAATCTACATGTGGTGGTCATATTTAATGTTTGGGGGGGTTAATAGCTGGTGGACAACAGTGGAGGTCTACAGCACAGAGCAATAAGCTGAACCAGGGTCTGGACTCGCACATTACAGTGAGGACACCACATTCACTGGAATAGATGATAGACATATATATGATGACTGACTGCAGCATTTAATTAGACTACCCAGAAAGTCTGACTGTTTATGGCTTCTCAAACACAGTTACACTTAATCTTTACATGCAAATGTTAAAAACTAAATCTGAAAGGATTTGATAAGAAGAGCCGATACTGGATTAAGAGGAAATACTTCCACCACTCTGTGTCTGTGCGGCAAAAACACAGAAAGTGACAGACCAAGTGAGTGGTACCTTCTTGGCCATGGCCTCGGACTCCTCTGAACTCTCTGTGTTCCTCTCATAAGCTTTACCTACACGAGCCACAAAGTCCTTCACTGTCTCACACAGAACCCTGGAGAGAAACACAGGAAACACACAGAGACACACACAAACAATGATGAGCTCAGACAAAATCCACCAACAGTGTCAGAAATATGACAACAGACAAACATGGTTGTACTTGGCAGAGGAGATGACAACAGAGTGCTGGTCTGAGGTGAGGATCTTGGACAGGTGAGCAGCCACTGAGTCCTCATAGGTCAGAATCTGCTGCACCTGAATCAAAGGACACAAACATCGAGGTCACTACAGTCTGTAAGGGTACACAATCACATTATACACTGTCAGACACTGAAATCTATTTGTCCAGAATGTCGGCAGTGTTTTGGAAGCTCTCCACCTGAGCTCAGACAGGTGCACGTCTCAATCAACAGCTCATGACCTTTCAAACTTCCTCACCACATTCTGAAGTAGCAAATAGTAGGAAGTGATGTCATTTCTTGTTACCTCAGAGTCATCGCTGCAGTCATCTGTGATGGTGGAGGCACAGTGTTGCCGTGGAAACTTGGTCTCATACACCATGATGCTCCACCTGCAGCAGGAGGAGAGAAAAACTACTGTCAGCATTCACAGCTTCAGCTGGTGTGCTACCTGTGCATCAATGAGTTATTAATGGATAAGTTAGAAAAATATGGGATCAGAGGAATGGTTCTGAATTGGATTAGAAGTTATTTGACACAGAGGCGTCAATTTGTGAAGTTGGGTGAATACCAATCGAGTGAGCTGGATATTGTATGTGGAGTGCCTCAGGGTTCTGTTTTGGGACCTAAATTATTTATATTATACATTAATGATATATGCAAGGTTTCTGATTTAGTGAAAGTGGTTTTGTTTGCTGATGACACTACCATATGGGCATCGGGTGAAAACCTACAGCAACTCTCTGGACGGGTTTCACAGGAACTTGAGAAGATAAAGAAATGGTGTGACAGTAATATAGTATCTCTGAATTTGGATAAAACTAAATTTATGGTATTTGGGAATTGTAGACTAGATAATGAACTTCAATTGAAAATTGGGGGAGCTAATATAGAACGAGTATATGAAATTAAATTTCTAGGTGTCATAGTTGATGACAAATTCTCCTGGAAATTTCATATCAGATATGTTCAGCACAAAATAGCAAAAAATATATCGATATTGGCAATGGTTAGATATATTTTAGACGGGAAAGCACCGTATTTTGTATTCTTCATTGATTTTACCATACTTAGAGTATGGTGTTGAAAACTGGGGCAATACATACAAAAGCTCACTTCAACCATTGTATATATTACAAAAAAGAGTGATAAGAATTGTGCATAAGATGGGGTATAGGGATCACACCAATGTAGCTTTTATACAGTCTAAATTGTTAACATTTTTTTTGATTTAGTGGGATACAAGACTGTTGTGTTTATGTATAAAGCCAGGAACAATTTATTACCTGGTGGAATTCAAAAACTATTTAATGAAAGGGAAGGGGGATACAATTTAAGGGGTCAGTTAAATTTAAAAATTCATGCTATACGTACAACCAAAAAAAGATTTTGTATTTCCATAAGTGGGGTAAAACTATGGAATAATTTAAGTGTAGACCTAAAAAAAAAGGAATAGAATTGATGAGTTTAAACATAAATATAAAGGTATGTGTCAATCAAGATATATGCAAGAACAGGCTTAACGATTAACCAGATGGAACATTGTGGGTGTGGTGTATGAATGTTAACACTCTTATAATTTTTTAGTATAATACTTGTGTGGTGTAGAAGAGAATTATTTACTGCTTGCAAACCAATGATGGTAAGATGATGTCATGGGGTAGGACTGGATAAGTCTGACTTCTTCCTACTCCATTCAAGCATGTACTAGGTATAAGCAAATTGATATTGGATTATGTATAAAATTATGTGTGTTGTCATATCAACTGTCTTTACATGCTTGAAAGAATAAATCAAATCAAAATCAAATCAAATCTCTACACGTGTCTGATGCTGTGTCGCCCGTTAGCTGTTTGTTACATGTGTGCCATCTGTTAATCTGTCTGACCTCATGTTACCTGCTTGTTACCTGTCTAGCATCTTCGTGCTGGCTCTCTCCAGTTTCTCCAGTATCTGAGGCAGTTGGGTGTCATCATCACAGGCCGAGCCCCAGCCCAGAACCCGAGCCAGATCGTTCCCAGTCCCCAGAGGAAGAACCCCCAGCTGACACTGAAACAGAGGCACAGTGATACTCTCAAAGTCTCACAGTGAAAATCTGTTCACTTGGGAACCCGTTTCCAAAGGTCCACATTAAATACACTTTGTCCAGCCTTTATTTAAACAGTTGATCCAAAGTGCTTCACAGCTCACAAACCAAAACAAATCAGAGGAGCCAAAATAGGGAAGAGGAAGAGAAAGATCAAACCAGAAATCGAGTAAAGACAAAAACAGCACAATAATAATTAATGCACCTGGTCATACAAAGCACACAGATGTGACCCAGACCTGCCACTTGTGCTTCTTAATTTATGGACAGCTGTAAACTTAAAACCTCCCGCTGCAGCCTGGAATATTTTACAGCTGTTGCTAAAAACACTCATTCATTTGTGTTACATCCCTCATACGCTTTGTCAGGGGGCCTTTTCCATGTAACCGAGTCTTTTTAAAAAGAATCATTTTTACTCTATTGAATTTTATATATACTGTATATATATATATATATTATTAAGACATACCACCCTACAGACTATCTTCTTTCTGTTCTAGGGAACCACAGACCAAAGAAATTACTGATGTATGCATGTGTACCTGTTTGTGAAGAGTGAGAGCGTCGATCTCAGACAGCACCCAGCCGACACTGCCATCTCCTCCACACACCAGGATCCTAAACGTATCAAACTTCTGGAATAGCCGCAGACTGGCACATAAGCAGTCAGGTCAGTGCTTCCATACAAAACATATTAAAAGGTAACAAAAACCCAGTCATTCTATAACTTTCTGCTCTCCCAGAATATTTTAAAAAATGCAGCTGAGGAGCAAGGCGCAAGGGGGTGTAGCCTCGTCCCTGCGTAACGTGTGACATGGAGGGTCAGAGGTCACAGACTGTTCACACAGTAGCATAGACAGAGTAGAAGCTAATAACCTTGACAAGCTTCTGTTGAATTTCCTTTTCTCTGCTGGAAAAATAGAGTCTGCGTGTCCGTATGCTGTATATACTGCCTCTGCTGAGCAATAAATCTCATTCAAGTAACATTAGTTGTGTGGATGCTGTAAAGCATCCACACTATGTTTTCCTGTTCTTTATTTATTGCATTCACACAACTAATGTTACTTCTATGAATGAGATTTATTGCTCAGCAGAGGCAGTATATACAGCATAGGACATGCAGGTAAGTCAGCTGTTTTCAGAGATATACAATATATTTTTTATAACATTTATACTTTTTAATTTATTCATCTTTTTGTTTACAATACAAATCAATGGGAGCTCAAAGTGCTGAGTCAATGACAGTGGTGTAGTGCCATCTGGTGGTCCATTAAATGCAGTGCAATTGAGACATGGCACTTCATAACTCCTCTCTCTCTCTCTCTCTCTCTCACACACACACACACACACACACACACACACACACACACACACACACACACACACCCCTACTTGTTTTACCTACTTTGTGGGGGACCAATTGGAATATTTTCACATCTTAGTAAGTTCAGCATACTTTCAGCAAGAAAAGCCATTCAGATATCAAAATGTTCAGCTCTTCAAGGACATTCCTACTTGTATTTATTGCATCTCATCCTTCAGATTATTCAACAAAGAACTTCAGCCATTTCTTCTCAACTATTTCAATAAAGAACTTCAGCCATTTCTTCTCATCCTTCGGCTGTTTCAGCAATTGATGTCAGGCATTTTCAGGACAATCTTTCAGCATATCAGCATCTACACGCATTTTTGAGAGGAAATGCATTTCTCTAGTTTTCCAGTTCTTATCACACTTGCTAATGCTAACAGGGTTAACCAAATCAAACTATCACTCTTTAACCACTTTTTTAATTGGCCAGGAATTTGTCTCTGGTACAGAACTGAGGCAGCCATCTGTTTTACCAACTCACACACACACACACAAATGGTGGCACTGTCCGTGCAAGGCGCTGCTCTGGGCATCGAGAGTAACTTGGGATTCAGTGTCTTGCCCAAGGACACTTTGAGATGTGAACTGGGGAGAATGGGACTTGACCTGCCGACCCTTCTGGTTAGGGGACGATCACTACCTCCAGAGCCACAGCTGCCCCAAATTCTGCTATATTAGTTATCCACTCTTGTGGTTACAGCACAGCAAAACTACCATCACTTTACCAACCTATCTGTTGACCTCACAGGACAGCTATAACTTTAGGCAACAGGCACATATGGACTTAGACTTCGCAGTAGCATGACACGACAGCCCCTCAACTAGCTTTCAAAGTAG